AAGTTGACGAAGATTTCATTTTGCATGGATCAACCTTCAACATTCATGGAAGCAACAGTTAAGAAATCAAACGGCATATTGCATTAGGCAAATCTTCTGCCCAAGACCTCTTTAATGTTTTTAGGAGCAAAGACACCATTTTGAGGACTTAGGTGTGCCTGACTCAAGTCCTGGTATTTTCAATATCATATACATGTAAAAGTTGGACAGTGAATAAGGTAGACCATAGAAGAATTGGTACATTTGAGTTATGGTGTTGGAGAATATTAAAAATACCATAGACTGCCAAAAGAACAGAGACCTTTATTGGAAGAAGTATAGCCAGAATGCTCCTTGGAAACCAGAATCGTTCATTCTTTAGACATATTTTCAGCAGGGACCAGTCCCCAGAGAAAGAAATCATGTTTGGTAAAGTGGAGGGTGGGAGAAGAAGAGAAGGTCCTACTTTGATGGACTGACACAGTGGTAGCAGCAATGGGTTCAGTGGCAGTAGCAAAGATTGTAAGCTTGTGCAAGACCGGCAGTGTTTCATTCTACTGTGTATACGGTCGCTATGAGGAGCTACTGACTCGATGGCACCTAACAACAGCAAAAATCATTTGTTGAAACATTTCAATTTGTATTCCATCAATTCAGTGTCGTTTTTTGCCAATGCCTTTAATGCACCTTGGACTTTTTCCTTTAGTAACATTGGCCCTTGATCATATATATGCTACCTCTTGAAATGGTAGCATATGAAATGTAGATGGGATATACAGTAATCAAATCGACTACATCTGAGGGAAATACAGTGGAAATTTTATCATCATCCTCCAAAACAAGACGAGGTGCAAACTATGGAACAGACCATCAATGCTCATATGCAAGCTCAGGCTGAAGCTGAAGAAAATTAAAACAAATTGACGAGAGCCAAAATATGACCTTGAAGTTAGCCCACCTGAATTTCAGAGACCATCTCAAGAATAAATTCTATGCATTAGACACCAATGACCAAAGACCAAAAGAGTTGTGGGATAACCTCAGAAACGTCATTCAAGAAAACGAAAGGTCATTAAGAAGACAAAAAAGACTAAATGGATGTAAGCAGAGACTCTGAAATTTGATCTTCAGTGTAGATGCTAAAGTGAATGGACGATATGAAGCAAAAGAGCTGAACAGAAATTTCTGAAAATACCATGTCAAGTACTATAATGAATGTTCAAATACCTCCTAGAGTTAGAAATAAGAACATGCTCAGCATTTCGAAAGCTTTAAGAGACTAAGAAAAACTAAAGCCTCAGGTTGAAATATTGAAGGACTCTATGCACAAAATATTGAATGATGTAGAACACATCAAAAAGAGATGGGAGGTATACAGATTCACTGTACCAAAAAGAATTGCTCAATGTTCAACCATTTCCAAGAAGTAGCATGATCAAGAACCCGAGGTGCTAAAGGAAGTCCAAGCTACACTGACGGCATAAGTGAAAAACTAGACTCCAGGAATTGACGGAATACTAATCAAAATCATGTTTGGCAAAGTGGAGGATCAGAGAAAAAGAGGAAGACCCCCAGCGATTGGCAATATGGTAGCATTGATGGGCTCAAGCATGGCAACAATTGTGAGGTTGGCCCAGGACCGGGCAGTGTTTCATTCTGTTGTGCATAGGGTAGCTATGAATCGGTACCGACTCGATGGCACCTAACAACAACAATCAAAATCTATTAACAAACTGATAAACCACTGGAGGCTCTCACTCATCTGTTTAAAAATACATGCTTGATTCCAGAGTGGTGATGCAATGGAATGTGGAAATCATCTAATATCATTAGTATCACAAGTAAATACAATTTTACTGAAAATTTCTCAACAACAGTTGCAATAGTATATGTCAGGGAACTGTCTGAAATTTAAGCTGGATTCAGAAGAGGATTTAAAATGAGGAGTATCATTGCTGATGTCAGATGGATCTTAGCTAAAAGAAGAGAACGCCAGTAAGTTGTTTACTTGTACTTTATTGACTACGTCTAGGCTATGTGAATCATGACAAGTATGGATAACACTAAATTATGCTCAGGAGGAACCTGTACATAGACCCAAAGGCAGTCATTAGAACAGAACAAAGGGATACTGAGTGATTTAGAATCAGTAAAGATGTACCGCCAGGGTTGTATCCTTTCTCAGGATTGGAGGAAGACTCATTAACAACCTGCAACATACAGATGATACAAACCTTGCTTGCTGAAAGCAGAGGAGTTAAAAACTTACTGAAGGTCAAAGACCATAGCCTTCAGTATGGATTGTACCTCATTGTAAAGAGAACAAAAATCCTCACCACTGGACCAGTAATAGTATCATGACAAACGGAGAAAAGATGGAAGCTGTCAAACAGTTCATTTTGTTTGGATCTGCAATCAGCTCATGTGAGCAGAAGTCAAGAAATCAAATGACATATTGCATTAAGCAAATATGTTACACAAATCTTTTTTAATTGTTTAAAAAGAGCTAAACTATCAGATTACAGAGCTCTGGTAGCGTAGTGGTTACGAATCGGGCTGCAAACCACAAGGTCAACAGTTCAAAACTACCAGCTGCACCGTGGGAGAAAGATGAGGCATTCTGCTCCCGTAAAGATTTACAGCCTCGGAAACCCTGTTCAGGGTCGCTATGGGTCGGAACCGACTCGACGGCACTTAACAACAAGGTTATCAGATTGAGGACAGTAGCCTCATAGCATATGCATGCTCTCCCCCATAGAGATGCTAAAGCAAATGGAAAAACTGAGGTGGTACAAGAGATGAACAGAAAATCTCAAAGATCAGCTCAAGAGGATAAAATCAAATATTACAACAAAATGTGTAAAGATCTGGAATCAGATAACCAAAAAGGAAGAACACGCTCAGCATTTCTCAAGCTGGGGGAAGTGAAGAAAAAATTCAAGCCTCGACTTTCATCGTTGAAAGATTCACTGAGCAAATTATTGAATGATGCAAAAAGCATCAAGAGAAGATGGAAAGAATACAGTCACTGTACCAAAAGGAAATGGTTCATGTTCAACCATTTCCAGAGGTAGCATACGATCAAGAGTCAATGATACTGAAGGAGGAAGTCCAAGGTGCATTGAAGGAATTGGCAAAGAACAAGGAACCAGGAATTGATGGAATAAACGTTGAAATCTTTCAAGAAAGTGAGGCGGCACAGGAGGCACTCACTCATCTCTGCCAAGAAATTTGGAAGACAACTATCTGGCTGACCGATTGGAGATCCATATTTGTGCCCATTCCAAAGAAAGGTGACCCAACAGAATGCAGAAATCATCAATCTCTTTGATATCCCATGCGAGTAAAGTTTTGCTGAAGGTGATACAGACACGGCTACAATAATCATACATTGACAGAGACCTTCCAGAGGTTCAAGCCAGATTCAGAAGAGGCCGTGGAATGAGATATCATTGCTGAAGTACGATGGATTTTGGCTAGCAGGGAATATCAGAAAGATATTCTGTATTTTATTGACTACGTAGTCTTTCAACTGTGTAGATCATAAAAAACTGTGGACAACATTGCAAAGTATGAGTATTCCGGAACAGTTAATTGTGCTCATGAGGAATCTGTACCTGGACCAAGAAGCAATTGTTCAAACTGAACATGGGAATACTGAATGGTTTAAAATTAAAAAAGGTGTGTGACAAGGTTGTATTCTTTCACCATACTTATTCAATCTCTATGCTGAGCAAATAATCCTTGAAGCTGGATTCTGCGAAGAAAAATGTGGTATCAGGATAGGAGGAAGACTCATTAACAACCTGCGATATGCAGATGATACAACCTTGCTTGCTGAAAGTGAAGAGGACTAAAACATTTACTGATGAAGATCAAAGAGCACAGCCTTCCCTACGGATTACATCTCAATATAAAGAAAACAAAAATCCTCACCCGTGGACTAATAAACAATCTTCTCAATGGAGAAAAGATTGAAGTTGTCAAGGAGTTCATTCTTCTTGGATCAACTATCAGCACTCATGGAAGCAACAGTCAAGAAATCAAACGACATATTAATTAGGCAAATCTGCTGCCCAAGACCTTTTTAAAATGTTGAGGAGCAAAGATGTCAGCTTGAGGACTAAGGTGCGAATGACCCAAGCTATGGTATTTTCAATAACCTCATATGCATGTGAAAGCTGGACAGTGAATAAGGAAGACTGTAGAATTGATGCTTTGGGTGTTGGAGGAGAATATTGAAAGTGCCATGGGCTGCCAAAAGAGCCAATAGATCCATTTTGGAACAAGTATAGCCAGAGTGTTCCTTGAAGGCCAAGATGGCCAAACTTTGTCTCTCATACTTCGGACATATTGTCAGGAAGGACCAGTCACTGGAGAAGGATATCATGTTTGGTAAGGTAGAGGACCAAAGAAAAAAGAGGAGGACCCCCAATGAGATGGATTGGCCAAGTGGCAGCATCGATGGACTCAAGCATAGCCAACCGTAAGTGAGGTTGGATCAGGATCGGGCAGTGTTTCGTTCTGCTGTGCATAAGTACCAACTCGATGGTACCTAACAACAAGAACATATGTATGTGAAAGATGGACAATGAATAAGGAAGACCACAGAAGAATTGATGCATTTATGTTTAGGTGTTGGAGTATATTAAACATGTCATGAACTGCCATAAGAACAAACAAATCTGTGTTAGAAGAAGTACAGCCCAAATGTTCCTTAAAGCCAGGATGGTGAGGCTTTGTCTCTCAAATTTCAGATAAGTTATCAGGAAGGACCAGTTCCTGGAGAAGGACACCATGGTTGGTAAAGCGGAGGGTCAGTGAAAGAGAAAGACCAACAAGTGGCAGCAGCACTGTGTAACAACAACAGCTCAAGTGTAATCATTGGAAGGATGGCGCAGGATAGGGAACTGTTGCGCTCTGTTATCCTTAGGGTCACCACGAGTCAAAACTAACTCCAGGGAACTTAAGAACAGTCACTGCCAAACCTATGACTTAAGACAAAAAAAGAAAGAAATCTGTTTCAATAAAATGTAGTAAATATTTTAATTTACATAGCATATTATAATGAATCCATGAATCAAAATCCACAATTACACATTCATAAAAATTCTGCACATCTTCCTCAGAATAATCAGTTTCTGTACAAAGATTTACAGATGTCCAGGGTACATAATTTTTCCTCAGTGTGCTACGGAGTTTAGAGGTTCCGCTCGAATATTCCCCAAATCAAGTGCAGAATCTGTCTCTTCATCAATTTCTCCAATGACTGCACTATAATCATTTATGAAGGAAAAAATTAAAAATCAAGTGTTAGAACAATGTCATCTCCAAAGTAAAATTCACCTTTTAAAAATCTTACTATTCAAATGGAAACAGTACCATTCTTCCAAAACTTTCAACTAAACTGGGAGAATTTCTTAAAATAAAAGATGAATAATTTCCTATGGCAGTAAACTGAACATATAAGAACAAAACTCAGTATAAAGTCTTCAGTTCCTTAATAAATGCTAAGTACTAAACTCTGGTGGAATATATATGTACTTACCATTAATTAAAGAACTGAAGGTATATTTATGTTCTTCTGAAATTAGGGGTATTTTAGAAGAACATTCTAAGAAGTCTCTGTAATGAAGTATTCTGGACTCTATCCAGGTCACTTAGCTATTAGAAATATAGATTAAGCTCAGTAGATAAAAAAATGTACTTTATACATGACTTTGGTTGACTCTTGAAGAATATAACATGAAATAGATATGTCTTACTTTAAAGAAATACAATATAAGAAAAATCACATTCATAATACTAGTGAATATATGATCCTTTTAACTATGTATGGATGAAAAACTGTTATTTTCAGAAAACATCTTCATGTTACAAGGCAATCATTTTTACTTATAATCTTTCCAATAATGTAGTAAGGTATATATAGCTGCAGCAGAACTTTCAGGGTATATTTTACTTACACGTTGTCACCTCTTACAATATATAATCCTAATACCACTTGTTCAACTCCCTGTGAAGAGCTGAAAACTCGTTCATGACTTTCATCCAAAATCAAATTAATGGTCTGGTCAAAACCTTTCAGAGTTCCCTGGGAAGAAAATATCCAAGAGAAATATTCTCACTTATTTGAATGCATAAAATTCAAATAAATCTTAACTCGACAACCGTTGTACTTGTCAGGCAAATCCAGTAAAGCATTCATTTAAAATACATTTTGTAATAACCACCAGCACCTCAGGGCACAAAACACACTCTTGGTAAGAAAGGAGAGAAAACCCAGCACCACACAATGTATGACTAATACGTAGAGCTGTTGAGTTACAAATGATACATATTAAAATAAGTGAAATTTTAGGAGAAAGTATATATAAACATATAAATTAGATCTTATTTCCAAGTGGATTTCTGAGACTGGGATTCTGGTGTGGCGCTCTAGGATAAGTACTGAACTGCTAACTGCAAGGCTGGTGATTTAAACCTACCAGCTACTCCTCAGAAACCCTATACAGGGTTGCTATTTGTAGGAACCGACTTGAGGTCACATAACAACAACCTTTACAGAAGACTGCCACATTTTTCTATTGGAGTGGTTGGTGGGTTTGAACCACCGACAGTTTAGTTAGCAGCCAAGTGTTTAAACACTGTACCACATGGCTCCTTTGAGAAAGATTAGAAGCCTTACAATCTTTCTGAAAGCAAACGCATTATAAATTAAAAATGGAGATAAAATGATTTAGTAGCCAAAATTCATGGGATTAAATTCCTCACATCAAATTTTAAAACCAAGTATAAACCATAAGAAAGTGAAATCCTTTGTTATATGAGTTAAACTAGTAACTAAGAAAGGTTTTCCAAGATCGAGTCAGAGAGAGAATTCAGATTTTTCTGGAATTAAAAGATGGAGCCCTGGTAAGCGTTATTAGCTGGCTAACTGAAAGATCAGTGGTTCAAACCTCTTATTCATTCCAAGGAAGAAAAGTGTGGCAGTAGGCTTCCGTGACGATGACAGTCCTGGAGCAGTCGGATTCTGTCCTAAAGGGTCACTGTGAGTTGGAATCCACTAGGCAGCACCAGCTTAGGTTTGTTGTTGTTTTTTGTATCATAGCCAAAGGGAAACTTGGTGCTGCAATAGCTTAGCTCTTAACTGCTAACTGGGAGGCCAGAAGTAGTTCTATCCCATCTAGCTCTTTGGGAAAAAGACCTGCCGACTTGCTTTCGTAAAGATTCCATAAAGAGTAAACCCTATGGGGCAGATCTTCTGTCACATAGGGCCACTATGAGTTAAACATCAACTCCATGGCACCTAATAATAACAACATTGTAATAAAAGGATAAATAAGATCAAATAAATTATTTGTCAATCATCATATATTGTCTTAGAGAAAAGAGGTCATGTAACCTGAGAAAAATCATAAACCACATAAAAATAAAAACCATAAATGTTCATTATGCTATATATATAGTATCTAAATCATAAAAGAGTAGTTTCTTTCTAAAAATTAAACACAAACTATATGATTCATGTGGCAGCTGTCCAAACTCTGAATGGGAAAGAAAGAAAAAATGGAAAAGGAAGATACACAAGACTAAGACAGAAAAAGACACCCGCAGATTAGATCCTCCATGATGGGAAGAACCTATTCACACAAGATGCTAGCAGAAGCCTAGTAGGTAACCTGCATTCAGTGCTTATTAATAAAGCATTGAGTGCAGATTAAACTGAATCAGTGGATGTTTATTAAAGAGAGCAGGGCAAAGAGTTAAATCTTAAGGAAATTGCCATGCCAGTCTACTGTGGTGGTGTGTACAATTATTTTACTATCAACAGCTTCAAAGACAAAGAATGAGAAGGCTCAATACTTACCACAATCATTCTTCCATCAGAAGTAATAACAGCTACAGTTCCTGGTAATTGAATTAAGGAAAGCATTTCTTAGGGAATACAAGGTGAAAACTTGGAATCTGGTAAGAGAATGGTTTGAATAACTAAAGTGACAAAATTAATAAACAACTATTCAAAACGGTTACTAAGTTCACAACATAAGCACTTAAAAGTTTCAAACTTCTTCAGTTATATCTTGGAGATAACTACACAAGTGAAAACAAAAAGGAGACAATAGCTTTCTCTTTGTGATGAGTATACTCATCTCAAAACAGCCAGGGTACTTGGTACTTTTTTTTTACTAGGAGAATTTGACTTTATTCAAGACATTTCTCACTTTCTTAGGCATATTTATTCATTTCTAGAATAAAACTTGAATGCTTGCTAAATCAACCAGTGTCGATTTGATTTCAAGCATGTTAAGGCAATATTCCAGGACCCGTTTTCTGGAATAAAAAGGACACTTATAATCATTGTCACAAGAGACCACTGTGCTTACTTACATTATTAAAAGGTTTCAGTATTTAACTTTCGTTCCCAGTGTATATACTTCTTTAAAGCGGTAACATACACATCGGATTATTTAAGAGTTTGGGCTTCTTGTGACAATCCATTGAAAAAGCAAGCATGGTTTTAATTCTATCAACATAGAAGTTGAGACTTCAACCAGTAAACTCAATTTGTGGATAGTGTAAACTTTTGCTACCCCAACAATGAGCATGCTTATGAATAAAACAAGTACATAGAATTTACAAGGCCATTGTCCCCTCGATGCCAGCTGTGTATCTTATTCTCACAAGGGTCCTGAAGGAATAAATAGTAAGAATGAATCAGCAGCGTAAAGCGATAGAGACGGAAAAGTCCGAGATAATTAAATTGGGTTTACTTTATTTTAGGACAAAATTAAAATACACCTTGGGCCTGCGACAGGATCGGCGGCTAGAACCCCGGCCGCGGGTCCTTACCCCCTCACTCGCGCCCCAAACAACCACGGATCCCGACCCCCGGCTTCTCCAGCCGCGGCGCCGCTGCCGTGGTGACAAGGGCCTCGCCAAGCCGGCCCTCCCGAGGATACGGTTGATGTAGTTCTCCAAAGCGGACGTCATGATGTTTGGCCCGGAAAAACCGGGCAACGCGGCAGCGCCAGTAACAAGAGGAGCCAAAAGGACCCGCCACCAACCGGCGCCCAAATACAACAGCAAATATCGCGAGAATTGCCACAGCCGCGGAGGCCAGGAGAACAGGGCAACACCAAAAGAACCAGAGCTCTAGAGCAGTGGAGAACTAGTGCGCGTGTGCAGTGCGTTTCGGTGATTCTTCCGGGCTGCGATCCCGGAAGTCGTGGGAGACAAAAAACGAACTAGAGGCGGAAAAAGGGAAGAAGCTGCCAGTAGGTGGGGTAAGAGGGAGAAAGTGGGAGAGTGACTTTCCTAAACTGAGAGAACAATGCCTAAAAGGCGATGTAGTAGACTTTACTAGAAAAAATATTGGAAAAGACCGGGAAGTAGGGAGAATACGGAATAAGGTGTTTCGAGTAAAAGTGAAGAAGATATAAAATTGGTGCCCTTGTAAGAAATGTGGGTACGGGAAACTGGGCTCCATGGCCGAATTCTGCAGCATGGGCAGAAAATGAAATAAAAGAAAAGCTAAATGACACTAGACAAAACAAAGCTGTGCATGCTGGAGCCTGAAGAAAAAGCATGTTCGCATATTCTGCATTTATCTCTAAGAGCTCCAACGGAGACATCATCATTTACTTTAACAAACTCAATCCAAGCAGGTATGTGAGCGTCCCTTAGAAAAGAACTGCTCGAACTTCTAGGAAACCTGGAAGTCTCTCGGTCTTCAGGGTGAAATGAGTAAATAAAAGGCAGGTCCGCACCGCCAATAAAAATAAATTTGTTATAAACGTGCACCAGACTGGATTCTAATCTTGACTCTGCTACCGAATTATGTTCCATTGCAAAAGTCACTTCTACTCTTCTAAGCCTCATTATTATGAGGTGTAAGTAGCGTCGTGGTTATGAATTGGGCTGCTAGTCTCACGGTTAGCAGTTCAAAACTACCAGCTGTTCTGCGGGAGAAAAATGGGGCTTTCTGCTCCCATAAAGAATTACAGCCTCGGAAACCCTGTACAGTGTTGTTATGAGTCGGAACCGACTCCATGGCACATAACAACAACAACAAGTATTATTGAAGAGATTTTAGAAAATAAAATTGTGCCACCTTTTAAAGTGAATAATGCATGAAATCTCATCCCTTAGGGTGTGCTTATGATTTAACATTCTATAGTAACTTATGGAACTAATCATAAATGCATTATACTATGTCTATGACCTCGTGTATCGTTCATGAAATCAATGTCAGATACATAACAGCTGTGCCATGTGTACAGTGCATCACAAAATTTCTTTTGCTTTGAAAATTTATTACAAGTCTTAAAACTTGTTACATTTTCTGTAGTCCTTAAGGATCACAGATATAGAGAAATCCTATGAGTAAAGAAACTTACTACTTTACAAATGAGTTACATACAAATACATAAAGTACTTATAAGTATATATCTAAATTAGCCTTGTAACCATGGGAGTAATTTAGAAAGTTTGTTGTTAAGTGCCATCGAGTCGGTTCCAACCCATAGCAACCCTAAATAGGGTTTCCAAGGAGCGATTGGTGAGCCTAAACTGCGGACCTTGCAGTTCAAACGGCCTTGCAGTCTGGTGCATTAACCCACAGCGCCATACTATGTGTCTTCCACAGAGTAGCTGATGGGTTAGAACTGCCAACTTGTGGTTCATGTTGTTGTTGTTGTTAAGTGCCATCGAGTCGGTTCTGACCCATAGCGACCCTGTGTAGAGTTTCCAAGGAGTGACTAGTAAGCTTGAACCACTGACCTTGTAGTTCAAACGGCTTTGCAGTCTGGTGCATTAACCCACAGCGCCACACCAGTCCCGTGCTTATTCTATGGGGTCACTTTTAGGATGTTGTTGTTGTTGTTATGATGTGCCGTGGAGTCGATTCCGACTCATAGCGACCCTGTAACAGGGTTTCCGAGGTTGTAAATCTTTACAGGAGCAGAATGCCTCATCTTTCTCCCATGGAACCGCTGGTAGTTTCGAACTGCTGACCGTGAGACTAGCAGTAACCACTACGCTGTCTCCTAAAAGTGAGAGTCCTGGTGTGGCACTGTGGGTTTTGCCAACAAACTTAAGTTGGCATTTCCAGCCCATCAGCCACACTGCGGAAGAAAGATGAGGCTTTCTGCACCTGCAAATATTTAAAGTCTCAGAAATGCTACATTGGCTTACTCTGAGTTGGAACTGACTGGACAACACTTAATTTAGCAAAAGGATAATAAGGGTAGAACGATTCAGGAAAAGCCACAGCTGACTGCTTCTTAATAAAACAATGGAGACAATCGTTAATACTTTAAGCATGATTCATATTCCTCAGTAGCCAATGGTGAGGCCACAGAACACACAAGCTAGATTTACACTGGTGTATAAGAATTGGGCTGCTCACCTCAAGGTCGGCAGTTTGAAATTACCAGCCGTTCTGTGGGCAAAAGATGAGGCTTTCTGCAAATAAAGATTTACAGCCTCGGAAACCCTGGACAGGGCCACTATGAATCGGAACCAACTCCACGGTACTTAACAACAACAACATACAATACCATGAAGGTCTGGAAAACCATTCTGTCAGGAGGCTCGCTGTTTTGGTTTATAAAGGAGAAGGCGTATTGTTAAAATACTTGTACTTTTATTTCTTACGTACTGTTTACATTATTTTTATTTTGAAAACCAAAACAATCATTTCTACTATAACATAAATGCATTCCTGAAATTCCTTATATTGAGGGGGAAAAATACAAAAAAGCTCACTTAAAAGAACAGACTTGGAGAAGCAGATCTGGGAAGAATTCATTGACTTTAGGTGAATTCTGAGTTATAAAGACCTTATAGAACAGAACAGAACAGAACTGGCCCATAGGTTTTGCAAGGCAGGAATCTCCGTACAAATAAGTGCCATATCTCCCCCACCCCAGAGCAGCTGGTAGGTTCAAACTGCCAAACTTTTGATTAGCAGTCAGACACTTAACCACTGTGCCACCAGGGTTCCATAAACCTTTCCAGATAACGCTAATATGCAGCAAAGCTTGGGAATATTTCCACTATAATTCCTAAAAGAAATAATAGCTATCTTCAGATATTTTCATTCATGAAAATATTAGCACATTTTTAAGGATTTGTAAAATTTCTAACAAATGTATAGTAACATATTGCTGTTTTTGAGTGCTATCAAGGTGTTTGGGACTCAAAGCAGCCCCATGTAACATAGAAGTGCCCCATACCATAGGGCTTTCTAGACTGTAATCTTTACAGAGCAGAACAGGTCTGCCTTCAGAGGAGCAGCTGAAGGTAGCTTGAAAGAGGACTGTATAAAAGGACTGACACTGCTGAATAATGGAAACTAGGGCCTGATGACAGAACCATCAGGAGTTTCCAGGGGAGAAACAGTTACAAACTTATCAGGAAATGTAGAGATGTCAGAGGTGGATGACTCGGATTCATTGTGTGGTGTGTCTTGCTTGATTTTTTTTTTGCACAAAGATGCAAGATATGTGCAAATTAAGTACTATTAAAAGAAAGCATATAATCATAAGTGAGCTGACACATTGCAAACAGAGTGCTAGAACACAATACACAATGTTTGTATTCCACTGAGAATTTGGCAGGTCTTTAAAGCAGTTCATTCTGGTTGGACCCCCCTATAGAGAATTTGAGTTTCCATCTGAGGTATATTGAATCAGAATCTACATTTTAACAGTAGCCACAGATGATTTTTATAGATTCAGGGTGGATCGTAATGAGCCATGGATAACATTGAGGAGAATGAGTATTCTGGAACACTTAATTATCCTCATGAGAAACCTGTACATAAACCAAGAGGCAATCCTTCATAAAGAACAAGGGGACACTGAATGGTATAAAATTGGGAAAGTTGTGTGCCAGGGTTATATTATCTCACAATACTTATTCAATCTGTATTCTGAGCATATAATCGCAGAAACTGGATTATATGAAGAGGAACACAGCATCAGGATTGGTGGAAGACTCATTAACAACATGCAATATGCAAATAATAAAACCATGCTTGCTAAAAGTGAAGAGGATGTACAATAACTTACTGATGAAGATCAAAGACCACAGGCTTCAGTATGGATTGCATTTCGATGTAAAGAAAACAAAAATCCTCAACACTTGGCCAATAAATAGCATTATATTAAATGGAAAAAGATTGAAGTTGTCAAAAGACTTCATTTTACTTGTATCCATTGTCATCACTCATGGAAGCAACAGTCAAGAAATGAAACAATAAATTGCATGAGGCAAGTCTGCCAAACAAGACCTTGTTAGAGTGTTCAGAAACAAAGAAGTCAGTGTGAGCACTAAGACGCACCTACCCCAAACCATGGTATTTTCAATAGCTTCATATGCTTGTGAAAGTGGACAATGAATAAGGAAGTCCAAAGAAGAATTGATGAACTTTGAGTTATGGTGTTGGAGAAGAATATTAAAAGTACTATGGTCTTCCAGAAGAAGAAACAAATCTATGTTAGAAGTACAACCAGAATGCTCTTTAGAAGCCAGGATGGTGAAACTTCATCTCTCATACTTCAGATATATTACCAGGTAGGAGCAGTCCTAAGGAGGACATCATGCTTGGTAAAGGGTCAGCGAAAAAGAGAAAGACCCCCTCAACAAGATGAACTGGCACAGTGGCAGTAACAATGGGCTTAGGCTGAACGATTGTGAGAATAGTGCAGGACCAGGTAGCATTTGGTTTTGTTTGCACAGTGTCACTGGGAGTCAGAACCGACTTAACAGCACCTACTAAGAACAACAACTTTAGACCTGGTGATGGTGCACACCTTTCCTAATATCAAACCATTCAATGTTCCCTGTTCTGTTCAAACAACTGCCTCTTGGTCTGTGTACAGGTTCCTCATAAGCACAATTAAGTGTTTCAGAGTGCTCATTCTCTGCAATATTGTCCATAGCTTTTCATGATCCACACAATTAAAAGCCTTTGTGTAGTTAATAAAGCACAGGTAAACATTTTTTCTGATATTCTCTGCTTTCATCCAAGATCCATCTGATGTCAGCAATGATATCCG